CCCCCCCCAACCCCTGGTCCGGCAAGAACCCGGCGTGCTCCGTGCCGGCTTTGTAAGGATGCGAGGTGAATGCTCTAACGACTAGGGCATGCACGGCTATGAGATTTGTGTGTCTTCGTCCTATTGGTTATGGCGACACAGCAGTCCCCCCATTTTTTCGTGGTGAGACGTGGACTACACTCTTCAGCGTATGTATGTAGAGTACTACACTTTTCGGTGTATTTTGTCGTACAATTACAACCACCCAGGGTCTCACAGTACACGAACAAATACCCGCCGGCATTGTTTGTGAGCCAGGTACTACGTGGACACTGACTGGCAGCCGAAGAAGATGGAGGTGGAGGTGGATGTCCCTCTCACGCTAGACCTCGAGTCACTGAGGTCAACGGGAATGCAGGTGGGCGCGAAAGCGGTCTGACGACTTAATATACTACCCCCCTTACGGATTGCACATACGTGGGCAAGGAAGTAAGCACAGGATGCCGAACACCCTTAGCAGGATGCAGCGCACCCTTCATGCGACTTGCCGATATCTCACGGCGCTTCGCGCTTGGTGACGTGAGAGCCTGGTCCGGTGAGAACCCGGCGTGCTCCGCCCCGGCTTTGTAGGGATGCGAGGTCAATGGTCTTGCGACTACGGCATGCACGATAGTGAGTATACCCCCTCCCCCCCTTGCGGATGGCATTGTAAGTCAACCCATGGCATGGTATCTGCTTTGGCACAGCAAAACGCAAGGAGCATGACCAGCTTCTGGTTCATCCTTGTAAACGTAGCCTGGGCCGGCGCCTATTGCTCCGTTCCGGCAGAGTTGTAGGGATGCGAGGTCAGTGGTCTAACGACTACGACATGCGTTTACACAAGTACACCTTGGCCCCTGCTGGACCGATTTTTCAAAGACCGATTTCTCTGCAGCACAGTACAGCAGTGATGGTGTGGGAAATGATGAAATTATGGCGTTGGAAGCGTGTCCTCGACAGCGTGCCGAGATAAGTGTCTTTTGACCTTGGCATCCTCTTTGATGTCGTGTATTCGAGCTTTGACAGTGTCCACGGGGTGTGGTGTCTTGCGTCATGTCGCCTACGGTAAGCAGGGCTTATCGCATGAACGAGCGCCGTGAGAGGTGTGTAGTCTGTGCTTCGTTGGCGGTCAAAACCGTACATGACACAAGATAACACACCCCCTTCACCAATTTTCAAAGCTAGATCATGCGACAACGAAGAGGATGCATAAATGAAACAATGCATTTTCGGAAAGCTCTAGACGACACAGCTTCAACTCCACCGTTGTCCGCGCTGTAACTCTTTATCCTGTCGAGAAATCGAGATTTGAAAATCGGTCCAGGGGGTGTGTTATCTTGTGTCATCTACGGTCATCTCACGGCAGAAGGATCCGAACGCCCAATAGCGATGGGGCAGAACCGATAATATTGCATGTGATATACGTCTTTTTTATTCGGCTACATGTACGCGTCGCTTTTTTTTGTACACAAGTTGCCGTGTATCTGCCTTATACTGCCTGGTGCCCATCACCAACAAACCATGAAGGGGTGTCACCCATGATTCTGGTTCGGCTCAGGTTGTATCATCGCGTGCACGGCCTGTGTTTGAAACAAACGTTTGTCCACTGCGTTGACTCAATAGACTCTCTGCCTTCTCTGGTTGCCTACCTTAAAAAAGTGCACGGTATGTGTTTCAAAGAAGCGTTCATCTGTCGTGTTGAATGATGTCTTATGTCCGCGTTGCTTGTCTCCAATGGGTTTTTGTATTTGCGGTTGACAACGGCTTAGTCGGATGAGGTGCCTATGCCAGAGGGGGACGATGCGGTGCCCCCCGCGGCGGACGACCCGGCTGCTGCTGCTGCTGCTGCTGCTGGCTCTGCTGGTTCTGGCGCTCAAGGTGGGAACCTTTTTCCCATGAAACAGCATGCGCAAGATGATAATCTTTAGCCTTAATTTATAATGATTCGTTTTGATTAAGCATTCTCGCTCAACGTGATAACTTATTCACCTTGTTTAAGCATTTTTGCTCAAGGTTCTTAACCTTTTCTACCCTTGAGCATACCCCCCCGAGGCCGACTGTTGTTTCCTGCATCGACACTCTCACGGCACAACAGTCCTGTATTCCCCAGATCCTCCCGCCGAAAAAATAGAGTGGAAAATTTCCCCCGTGCGTGTGGTCTTCCTCCCTCTGTGTCACCCCGATTGATGCTCCCGGAAGAATCGTATACATGTACGGAAAGGCGTAATAACATTCTGGTTGATGCTCCTGGAAGAATCGTATGCATGTACGGAAAGGTGTAAAGACACTGGAGATGTCCAGAACCGCCGAGGCGGCCCCCACAAGCACAGTGTGTGATGAGCGTGCCGTTTGTTTTTGCTCGACTCTGTGTTTGTGTTCACCCGTGTTCATGGATGGATCTGCCGTCGCTTTTCTAGAAGCCGCTCCGCTTGGTTGGTGCACCACTTTACCTTCCTTGGTTCATGTGATCGATGCGACGACGGTTTTACTTCAATGACCATTTTACCATCATAACTGCCTTTGTTCGTGGACGTGTCTGGATTTCTTCGTCCTCTGCCTCTGCGTGCAACGCCCTTCAACGCACTCTGGTGTTGTCGTTCACAGCGTTGGAGTTAGACCATGTCTGACACCTTGGACATTCTGCCGTAGTTTCTTTTGTGCATGTTGTGTTCGCTTTTGTCAGACTTTTTCGCGAGACTGACAAACTTACCGCACAAAAACAATCGTTCCTCGAAGCGTGCTGACGCGTAGTGCAGTGTGTTGTGCTTGACCATATGTGCGTGGTTTGTAAGCTCCGTTTCCCCCCCCC